TACACAATACAAGGAGTGAATGGTACAACTTACACAATACAAGGAGTAAATAGTACAACTTACACAATACAAGGAGGGGAACAAGCTGATTGGATTTAGCTGCTGTATTTATCCAACTCCGAGCCTTAAAGGGCAGATCTTTCTCCTAAATCTATCAGAAACTGTTTGGAATCATTTTAGGACAAGTTGCTCAGAAGAAATATAGTGAGTCAATTTGATAATAAGAAATGGAAAATAAAACATTATTTAAGGCAAAGTAAATAAAAATATTTGTTTGTATTGTAAAAATTCAGTGAGTCACAATTACATTTGTAATACATTTTTGTTCCTTCGTTATACAAAGATGGCCTTTTCTCGAAAGTCCATGCTCAATAAGCCAGGTATACAATCCAACAATGTTCAGTCAGGTCATCTGGACGTTTCTTTTTTTGTGCTGAAACGTTTCACCTTCCATCCAGAAGACTTCATCAGTCTGAGGAAACACCAAACAAAACTGCTTCTCCTCCAACAGCTTACTCCAAAGTGGAAAACAACAGTTATGTTGGTGCTAAGATGGTCTCTGGGGCACGCCCTCTCCTCCAGTGCCCGCCTTCTCCCTCATCTACAGTCATGTCAAACTGGTTCAAAACACTAAAGTCCATGCTCAATAATCCAGGTATACAATCCAACAATGTTCAGTCAGGTCATATGGAAGTTTCTGTTAGGATAATTTAATATTATCCTTTCTGCTGCTTAAATAAATATGCCACACAGGAGAGGTAGATAAGGTTCTTAATCCCAGGTTTAATCTTGCAAGATGGAGCAGTGTTGAAATACAAGCAGGCAAAATGTTTACATGGCTCTTGGTCTCCAAGTCTGCTCACCGAGAGCATAAGAGTGTCTTTTTATAATGTTATCAGTCAGACTCGAGGTCAGACAACTCTTGCAGCCTCTTTGCTTTGAGTTTTTGAGGTGAAAGCTCCATGCCTCTGCCTCCACTCTGTCCAGACAAAACACTCTAACACCACATGTGGTTCACATACATTGGACATTGATAAGTGAAAAACATCTGTGACCTTTCACACCTCCATCAGTTTCTTTTTTGTGCTGAGATGTTTCACCCTCCATCCAGAAGGCTTCATCACTGGAGGAGAGGGTGTGCCCCAGACACTATCTTAGCAGCAACATAACTATTTTTTTCCACTTTGGAGTTTGTTTGGTGTTCCCTCAGACTGATGAAGCCTTCTGGATGGAGGGCGAAACGTCTCAGCACAAAAAAAGACACATCCAGATGACCTGACTGAACATTGTTGGATATGGTCTTTTCTGTTGTCCTAAAGTGTAAAAATCTAAATAAATGTTTGTCGTAACCGAGGGGAACCCAGATTTGTATGAGACCCGGAACGAGACAGACTCAGGTGGAATACAAAAGAAACAGTGTTTATTTACAAGCGCAAAAGACAACAGTTCTGGTACAGCTTCTCTGCAGCTCCTGGAGGAGGTAGAGGAGGACAGTCAGGACGAGGCAGAGTTCCTAGTAGCTGAAATATTGTTTTCTGTGAATCTCTTACAGTTTGATCCAGAGGTGGGTTCCAATCCTCCGGGGAGCTCCAGAGAGAGAGTCCAGCGGCTGGCAGGGCAGGCACTGGCCAGATTAGAGGCACCAGGCAAGAGGAATCCAGGCACAGGGGAGGTTGAACCAAGGAGGGACCCAAGGGGGTCTGCAAACCAAGAACAGGTCACGAGGAGGTCCAAGGAACCAAGAACAGGACACGAGGAGTCAGGAAACAAAGGATCACGAGGGGTCCTTTAAACAGGCCGAGGAACCAGGATAACTGGAAACAAGAGAACAAGGTCAGTACTGGAGAGTCTAAGCCTAAAAGGCTTGAAGCACAACTACCATGGAAGGTGATATGCTCCAGCGAAGAGTAGCACTGGACTGCAGCCTTTTGTAGCAGGAGAGCCTCCTCAGTCTGATGGCCGTCAGGTGTGATTAATTAGCGGCCATCTTGGAAGAGGAGCTGCAGGCAGTGGTACTCTTACAGTACCCCCCCCTCAAGAATCGCCTCCAGGCGACCTGAGACGCTTGTCGGGATGACTCTTGAAGAAGGAGGTGATGAGGCTGGGGTCGAGGATGAAGGATCGGGGAATCCATGACCTCTCCTCAGGACCGTACCCCTCCCAATCGACGAGGTACTGGAATCCTCGGCCCCTGCGTCGCACGTCGCGGATGGATCGGACAGTGAACGCAGGGTGGTTGTCGATCAGGCGGGGTGGAGGAGGGAGGTCAGAGGGAGGACACAGAGGGCTGGTGAGGACTGGCTTGACCTGGGACACATGGAAGGTTGGGTGGATCCTCATGGTCCTAGGGAGCTGCAGCCTCACCGCAGAGGGGCCGATGAGCTGGGTGATGGGGAATGGGCCGATGAAGCATGGAGCCATCTTTCGGGGGGTGTCCTTGAGAGGAATGTCCCGGGTGGACAGCCACACTTCTTGGCCCACCTGGTAGAGAGGGGCCGAGGAACGTTGACGGTCAGCGGCTTTCTTCATCTGGGCAGCCGTGCGGAGGAGTGCGGACCGCACCTGGCGCCAGACCCTGCGGCACCATCGGAAATGATGCTGCACGGAGGGCACCGTGCAGTCCACCTCTTGGCCGGGGAACAGAGGAGGTAGGTAGCCTAAGGAGGCTTCGAAAGGAGACAGGCCGGTGGCGGTGGAGCGATGGGTGTTGTGGGCGTACTCAACCCAAGCCAAATGGTGACTCCAGGCTGACGGGTCCTTCTCTGCCATGCAGCGCAGGATGGATTCCAGTTCTTGGTTGGCCCGTTCAGCCTGGCCATTCGACTGTGGGTGGTAGCCCGAGGTGAGACTGGTGGTGGCTCCCAGTGTCCTGCAAAAAGAGCGCCAAACCTGGGACACGAACTGTGGTCCACGGTCCGACACGATGTCTGAGGGGATACCGTGCAGTCGGACCACGTGCTGCGTCAACAGGTGCGCCGTCTCCATTGCAGAGGGGAGCTTGGACAGAGGGATGAAGTGGACCGCTTTGGAAAAGCTATCGATTATGGTTAGAATGACTGTGTTACCTTCAGAGGGTGGGAGTCCGATAACAAAGTCCATCGAGACATGGGACCACGGACGGCTCGGGGTGGGCAGAGGTTGCAGGAGGCCGGAGGGGGGTTGGGTGCCCGTCTTATTGCGGGCGCACGTGGGACAGGCAGCAACGAACTCTCGAATATCCGCAGACATGGCTGGCCACCAGAAGTGAGTCCTGGCCAGGGAGATCATGCGGGTGGAACCTGGATGACATGAGAGTTTGACATTGTGAATCCAGTGTAGTACCTTTGGGCGTAGAGCAGTAGGCACGAACAAGGTTCCAGGGGGGCCACCACCAGGGTCTGGTTCCACCTTCCAGGCTTCTCGGATCTCCTCTTCGATGGGCCACGTGAGGGCCCCAACGATGCAGGTGGAGGGAAGGATGGTTTCCTCGGTCTCCGTGTTGTCAGGGGGGGCGAACTGGCGGGACAGTGCGTCCGGCTTGACGTTTTTGGAGCCGGGCCTAAAGGTGAGAACGTAGTTGAACCTGGTGAAAAACAGTGACCAACGTGCCTGGCGGGGGTTCAGGCGTTTAGCGTCCCGCAGATAAGTCAAGTTTTTATGATCAGTCCAAATCAAAAACGGGGTCTCCGTGCCCTCCAGCCAGTGCCGCCATTCCTCCAGTGCCAGCTTAACTGCCAAGAGTTCACGGTTTCCCACGTCGTAGTTTCGCTCTGCTTGGGATAAACGTTTAGAAAAGAAAGCGCAGGGATGGGCCTTGTTGTCCTCCGAGGATCGTTGAGACAGCACCGCCCCTACCCCTGTATCCGAAGCGTCCACCTCAAGGATAAACTGTCTACGTGGATCAGGGTGAGAGAGGATGGGCGCAGAGGAAAATAAAGTCTTTAATTTAAAGAAAGCAGTCTCAGCCTCAGGCGACCAGATAAACGGTCTGGAGGTGGAGGTGAGCTGAGAGAGGGGCGGCCACTCGACTATAATTTTTAATAAAGCGTCTATAAAAGTTTGCGAAGCCCAGGAAGCATTGCAATTGTTTCCTGGACTCGGGTCTAGGCCATTCGACCACAGCTTTAGTTTTTTCTGGGTCGGTCCTGCAGTGGCCTTCCCCAAAAATGAAACCAAGGAAGGGAACCGAGGAGACATTAAATTGGTACTTCTCGGCCTTAACGAATAACTGGTTCTCCAGTATTCTCTGGAGAACCCTCCTTACCTGTTCCACATGCAGAGCGGGGTCACGGGAAAAAATAAGGATATCGTCTAGGTAAACAAACACAAAGTCGCCGATGAAGTCACGCAATACGTCGTTCACGAGGGCCTGAAAAACCGCGGGGGCATTTGTTAAACCAAAAGGCATAACTAAATATTCAAAATGGCCGAGGGGTGTTTTAAATGCTGTTTTCCACTCGTCGCCCTCTCTAATGCGAACGAGGTGGTAGGCATTTCTTAAATCCAATTTGGTAAAAATAGTGGCGGATTGCAATTGCTCATGTAGGGAGTTGATTAGAGGGAGTGGATATTTGTTTTTGACAGTGATGTTGTTCAAGGCGCGATAGTCGATGCAGGGACGTAAAGTCTTATCTTTCTTTGAAACAAAGAAGAAACCTGCACCGACGGGGGACGTGGAGGGACGAATAATACCAGAGTCGAGGGACTCGTTGATATATTCTTTCATGGAGTCCCTCTCAGGACCCGAGAGATTATAAAGTCGGCTAGACGGCAAGGGGGCGCCAGGGAGTAAATCAATGGCACAGTCATAGGGACGGTGAGGAGGGAGTGATAAGGCTCTCTGTTTGCTGAACGCCACCGTGAGGTCGTGGTAGGCAGAGGGAACAGCGGAGAGATCTACTTTCTCACTAGGAGAAGTGACGACTGGCTGCCCGGCGATCGCGGAGCGCAGACAGTCTTTGAGGCACTTATTGCTCCACTTCTCAACTCGCCCTAGCTCCCAATTAATGTCTGGGTTGTGCGTCTTTAGCCAGGGGAAGCCTAAAATTATCTGAGAAACGGAGGAGTCGAATACAAAAAAGTCAGTCATCTCATGGTGGTTGCCAGAGATGATAACATGAAGCTCGATGGTTTTCTGTTGGACGAGCGCCAACGTTTTACCAGTTACACCGGAAACAGAAATAGGAGGGATCTCGCGAGTGGGTAAAGAATATTTGGCGACCAGGTCCGAACTGATAAGGTTTTGTTCGGCGCCCGAGTCAACCAAGGCCAATAAGGAAACACGAGAATTGTTTATTTGAATTACTGTGGGCAAGAGGAGTTTAAATGGGAAGGTAAGAGCTGAGTTACCCACCAGTATCTCCCGCTTTACTGGTGGGCTCGCTCGTTTTCCCCGAAACGGGCAGAGAGGTAAATAATGACCGGGGTTGCCACAGTACATGCAAAGGTTAGCGTTTCTACGGCGCTCTCGCTCTTCAAACGTCAACCGTGTTCGCCCAATCTGCATGGGTTCTGGCTCAGGAGGCACGAGAAAATTGTTCTGGGGAGACAAACAAGAAGAATTAGTACCCGGGGACATCTTCAAAAGATGATTTTCCTTCGCTGTTTTAAAATAACGAGGTTCACCTGAAGGGGCCGCGAACCCGGAAGTGGAAGGTTTCTGGGAGTTGTAGTCCCGTTCTCGCCTCCGTTCCCGGAAACGGTCATCAATGGAAATGGCCATATCGATTAGTTGGTCAAACCCTTCCGGTTCGTCTCGTGCAGCGATTTGGTCTTTTATCTGGTCAGAGAGAGAGTTTAGGAACGCACCTTGGAGAGCGAGTTCGTCCCACCTCGTTTGAGCCGCCAGGATCCGGAACTCCAGGGCGTACTCAGAAACAGGACGGCGGCCTTGACGTAATCCCAGGAGACGTTTCACTGCGTTTGAAGCCTGCAGGGGGCGATCGAAGATCCGTCGAAACTCCTTCAGGAGTTGGGGGTAAGTAGCCGGGGGGTTCACGTGGGACTGCATGAAAGAAGTAGCCCAACGTAGAGCGTTACCTTTGAGAAGGTTAATAAAGTAAATAATCTTCGCAGAGTCTGTGCTGTAGAGACGGGGCTCCTTCGAAAGCGAGTCTGCACTGCAGCAGAAAACCCCCACATTGGTCGGGATCTCCGGCGAACAGTTCAGATGGTTTGACGAGCAGCTGTGGACCATGAGAGGTTGCGACAGACGTCTCACGAGGGACGCTGGGGACAGGCGGGTCGGTCGGATCTGGAGGAAGAGGAGGTAGAAGTTGTTGATTGAGGGAGTAAATCATACCTCCGAGTTCCTGCATGTTGGACTGGGCTGCACGTTGCTGGGTCAGAACCTGTTGCAACATGGTCTCCAGTCGGGAGATCCATTCCACCTGTGAGATGGTGGTTGTCTGTTCGCTCCCGGTCTCATTCTGGGTCTGTTTTGGCTGGAGCATTTCTGTCGTAACCGAGGGGAACCCAGATTTGTATGAGACCCGGAACGAGACAGACTCAGGTGGAATACAAAAGAAACTGTGTTTATTTACAAGTGCAAAAGACAACAGTTCTGGTACAGCTTCTCTGCAGCTCCTGGAGGAGGTAGAGGAGGACAGTCAGGACGAGGCAGAGTTCCTAGTAGCTGAAATATTGTTTTCTGTGAATCTCTTACAGTTTGATCCAGAGGTGGGTTCCAATCCTCCGGGGAGCTCCAGAGAGAGAGTCCAGCGGCTGGCAGGGCAGGCACTGGCCGGATTAGAGGCACCAGGCAAGAGGAATCCAGGCACAGGGGAGGTTGAACCAAGGAGGGACCCAAGGGGGTCTGCAAACCAAGAACAGGTCACGAGGAGGTCCAAGGAACCAAGAACAGGACACGAGGAGTCAGGAAACAAAGGATCACGAGGGGTCCTTTAAACAGGCCGAGGAACCAGGATAACTGGAAACAAGAGAACAAGGTTAGTACTGGAGAGTCTAAGCCTAAAAGGCTTGAAGCACAACTACCATGGAAGGTGATATGCTCCAGCGAAGAGTAGCACTGGACTGCAGCCTTTTGTAGCAGGAGAGCCTCCTCAGTCTGATGGCCGTCAGGTGTGATTAATTAGCGGCCATCTTGGAGGAGGAGCTGCAGGCAGTGGTACTCTTACAATGTTCAAATTCACTATATAATTTTAGTTTAATAATGTCACCACCACTGGCCAGAAAAGCACCCCTCTAATAAAAGTGGCCACCCACAGGCCACCAGGTGATAATCTCGTTGTATGTAGTGAGCAAAGGGGCAGAAATGGCTCTAGAGCAGACCCCTGCACTAGGCTCTCTTCCAAGGCAGATTTGTCTAAGAATTTCCAAACAGTTCATGTAAGTACAATAATTTAAACCTTCACTGTGCAACTATTTTTGTGTTTCATGCTAATTTTGTAGAGAAATTAAGACATTTGCAGTAGAATGGTGCTGTTGTTGCTCTCAATAAGCATGTATTGACAAACTGGCGGTGGTGAAACAGCATTAAGCCTAAACCAGTCAAATGTTGAGAGTGGAGCTGTTTTAAGATGGCACCAATGGCGGCTGTGGCTGAGTGGTTAGAGCGGTCGTCCTCCAATGCAAGAGTTGGGGGTTCGAATCCACCAGCAGTCACATGCTGAAGTGTCCCTGGGCAAGACACTGAACCCCTCATAGCCTCTGATGTGTGTCCCATCGGTGTATGAATGTGATAAAGTACTGATTAGTCTCTTTAGAATGATTTGTTCACTTAGATAGATCTAGTAGAGTGCTGTATGAATGGGTAAATGAGCGCTTTGAGTATCTTGAAATAAGATAGAAAGGTGCTGTATAAGTACAGTCCATTTACCAATCCACTTTTGTCTTGGTCATGCTCAAACTAGCTCATCAAGCATGTCGGACGTAAACTTTATTTCTGCAAACCGAGGTTGTTCTAAAAGCAATCTACAACAGGTCAGATATTAATTCTTCGTACCTTTTACATAAAACCCCACGTCAAAATAGTTAAGATAGCCCTTTAACCCTGATGTGCTAAATGTTCTGTAACAGAGAGCTCATGTGGAGATCCGCCCGCTGTGCTTAACACTGGGCAGGTGTGGAACGGCAGCTCCACCCCTGGAAGCACAGTGGCGTACTTCTGTAAAACAGGATTTTATCATCACGAGGGTAACAATGAGTCGATGTGCACAAAGAACGGTTACTGGACAAAGCCTGGCATTTTGTGCAAAGGTAACATTGTTCCTAAAACAACATGGTTTCTTCTTCCATACTCTCCTCCACAAACTAATACTTATTCTTCCCACTCTGCTGAACGGTGTCACCTCCGTGTGTGCAGAAGTTGACTGTGGAGAGCCTGTAGCCATCCCTCATGCAGGCATGCTGTGGGATAAGCGCTCCACAGTGGGCTCTCGGGTTGTTTACATGTGTGACGATGGATATGTGAGCGTTGGAGGGGGCAATGTTTTGGTTTGTTCTGCCACTGGAGAATGGGACGAAACCTCTTTGTCCTGTCAAGGTGATAATAATATTCATCTACTGTATGTGTAAGTGTAGTTTCCCTCAGAATCATGCACCATACAGGGCATCGTTTTTATTCACGTTATCAAAATATATCCAGTTTCCATTGCTTGATTTTCATTCTTTTTGTCGCAGAAATCTTTTGCGCAGAACCTCATTTCATACAACATGCTAAAATGCAATGGGAAGGTGCGTCCCACGTGGGTAGCGTCGTGTATTACCAATGTGAGGAAGGATATTTCACCAGAGGCCAAAGAAGCAACTCCGTTTGTGGAGAAAAAGGACTGTGGGAGGATGTTGATCTATGGTGTGAAGGTGCATGATTCTTCTGACCAAGAAGGAAATTTAGTCAAGACTGTTTCTTTATGTGTCGCACGGTGCTCTTTTATTTCTTCCAGTCTGTGATCACATTATTTATATACAGAAATAAACTGCGGTTCCCCCAAAATTCTCCCCAACACTAACCTCCTGTGGGACCGTACCAGCCGACATGGCAGCGTTGCGCGGTATGAGTGTGAGGATGGATTTTACCAGCAGAGTGGAAATAATTTTTCAAAGTGTTCATTATCAGGCGAGTGGGGGGAAGTATCTATAAACTGCAAAGGTAGAGTAATCCTCCTTATAAATCTACTTGAATGCCAGTCTCCACTGTTTCTCATTGCATGATCACCCGTATGTTTCTCTAACACTGCATGTTCTGTTGTGATCTGGGATGTTAGACTTGGAGTTTGTGGCAACCTAAGATGTGATTTACTTTCCTCCACAATGGCTTGCAATGATCACTGGCTGTCAGCACAAAGATAAATAAATGTGGGTGTTTGTGAAAATACATTGTGTGTGTACAACTTGTACGGAGTCAGTTTTCTCACAACGTGTTTCTTGTTATATATTTTTGGTCTGTAACTGCACCCAAAAAAATAAATCTTGTGTTTGTATGTGAAATGAATGTTGAGATTTCAGAGTCATTCAATCACTGTTGACATTTTTTCCAGCTAAATGTGGCCCAGTTCCCTCCCTTGCTAACTCTGAAGTAGTGTGGCACAACAGGAGTGTTGTGATTCATCGCTGTGAAGCCGGGTTTCACAGCTGGAGGGGCACCAATGTGTCTCTGTGTAGCAGCTCAGGAGTGTGGCAGGAGGCCACACTCAAATGCATTGGTGAGCACTGAAATAGTAGTTCAAAATGTAACAGTATTTATAGAGTGACAGAGTGGGATTTTGTTTAGTATTTATGAGGAATCTTACCAAATAGCTTCTTGAATGGACTCAGGAGAAATGGAGTTCTCTGACAGGACTGATGAGTTAACAGCTCGTCCATAATGAAGACAAAACCAAAAAGAGCCACTGTCGCTTAAAGAGATCTCTGACTACCTTCACACGATGGCCTTCATATGTTGTCATTTTTCTATTATATGTTTGTGACACGTGAAAACTCCTAATTACCTATATATATATATAT